ACATACGTACGTGCTCGAGAAATATAGCACAAATTATTGAATGCTCCGGTTGTATCAAGGACCCGCGTTGAGAGAGAAAGAGACAGAATGGCACTAAAACTACAGTTGCAACGATACGCGAGCTCATGCACATACAGGAGTAATGGCGCGGGATTTTTTTTGGCGCGCCGCGGCGTCCAGCACCAGGCGGTATCAGGCGGGGCCCCTGGTCCCGCGTAACGCGATAGTTTCGATGGCGATGAACGAGCCACGAAGCGTTCTCGCCACAGTCGTTTCCACAGCGAAAATACGCGGATGGAACCCGACAATCAGCGGGCTCTTCGCGCCAGTTACGAGCCAATCTTTTTCGTTTGTCGGGGCAATTCGATGATTAAAACGTATTCCAGCCGAAGGTGAAGGGCTCGGGGTGCTGTTACAGGGGTATAATAGCTCCAACACAGAACGTCAAACGCGCGGATTTGATTGGCGTTTCAGGTTGCCCTGGCGTTCGACGTTTATGTCGAAAATGAAAAGTTCGCGCCGGCGGACTCGCGTGTCATAGTGTTAGCTTATCAATTGCAGCACAATTCATCTTCGTTTATCCAACATCCTCAGGAAAATTGACGATCCGCCAGATTCTCGCGCTTTCCGTCATCGATAAGGTCGTTTATTAAATCGCAGTTAATCTTCCCCTAACGAAAATTTCACCGAACACCATTTCCTTCTCTCCTCTCGCGATACAGAATAAAATAATAAAAATTCCATAATAAAAGATTTCATTCGCGATGGACGTTCTGCGTGCGTCAGTTCTCTGAAGAGACCGCGGCGTAGGAGTATCGTTATTGCGCTTGCGTTACGATGTAATCCAGTTGTAACACGATGTCTCATCTCGCGTAACATCTCGCGTAGCGTCGGCCGCCACGTTTGGATTTAAATTCACTGCAACTCTATCTCAGCACGTATTTTCGGAGACAATAGCTCGGGCTCGCGTGCGCGGTACGTACGCCGAGCGCGATACGTTGTGTCCACGAATTAACGACTTTCTGACTGCGCTCACGTGGCCTGAGTGCGAATTCTCGTGACGGACGTCGCGTCGCACGTTCGCCGTTCCATCTACGAGTAATTTCACTTGTAAGTGAAATACCTCGGATATCACAATTTCTTATATAAAGTTAAAATATGCTTGTGTCTTTATAAAATTTTTTATTATAACTTACTTTCTGCTTCAAAAGTGACAAAATTTACAATAAACTAGAAAATAAGAACTACGAGATTTTTGTTATATTTGTATGGACTGTATCATATTCAGTTCTTTAAGTATTAACTGATCTTCTACTCCGATTAATTTATTCGCTATATAACACTTATTATTTCGCCATGTTGGCGGATTGTATGTATACCACACGCTATTTCGTGCCAAATTAACAATATCAAATTAATTAATCTAATACTGCTTGCACTAATAATTGAAGTGATGCAACATAATTAACATAATGTTATGAAACAGCAGATGGATCAAAATTTCGTAATGTGCTCCACAGGCGAATCAGTATACGAATGAAAGATCCCCTGCGGTGCATCCGCTCTGCATTCGGATTGTCTTTTCCGACAATAATGCGTCGTTCGAAATATAACTAGTAGTTGCAGCGACATTAATAACCGAAGAAATTTCATTGAGATGCGAATCGAATCGGGTCGCGGAATATTCTCAGGAAGCGCGATCAAACCTACGTTGTTAAAGCGCGATAAACCGACAGAGCGGAAGCGCCGACTTCTCCTACACGTTGCGAGCAACGAGTTCGAGAGGATAATAGTGGGCACACGTCACCATGAGCAGAAATGATTACGAGTAAACTGCGAGCTCGCACGTACAGCACGTATATATATTTCAACGGCGGACCTCAAGAACTCTGGGAGCGCAAAAAGTAATAGCTGAAGAAATCATGTTAAATTTCAATCTTTTAACGAAATGGAATTTCAATGTAATTGATAACAACAATATTTACATAAAGATTTACATAGTTTAGGTAAATATCGCAAAAAAAATAAAAACTAACGGAATATTTTTATTTTTTATTTTTTAGAAAAATATTCGTTTATTCATTTTTTCGCGCAGTTTCACGCATCGATGGAGATGTTCGTTGTTCCTCGCGACACATGGTGCACGCGTCATCCCGTCACGGAACGAGATGATTGCTGGCGCACGCTCGACGATAGGTTCGCACGATAATTCTCACATCGAGCCTCCCGCATAAGCCTCCCGCGGCTCGTCCGGCGGGATCGCATGGTCGCCGGTCATTGTATCTGTATACCCTCCGGGCCCTCACCCTTCCTAGACCGCCTTTCCCGGACCGACAATCGGCGCGGCATGGTGCAGCGCCCGACGGCTTCGTGTTAGCTCATTATCTTAATCTGCCAGCGGGACAAATAACAGGGTATCGCTCTTCCCGCCTTGGCAGCTGGCAATGCTGTGATATCCGCTAATATCGACTATGATATTTGAATGCTTTAACGTGGAAATTATCCGATTACTATTTTGAAAATGTTATTATTGCTCGATATCGCGACATCGGTATTGATTAGGATAGAAACACAATAGAATTTAGGAAGGAATTAGAAATAAAATACGTATAAAGATTTCGATGAATATCAAAATAATAATTAATAAAAATAACCAAACGGGAGAGATAAATACAGAATTGAGAATACTGATCGTGAAACAAAAAATAATACATTTAAAGGCAATCTTATAAATATATAGTATATCGAAATTTTACTGGTAATATTTGACCTAAAATATTGATGTCTGATAGCGGAAAATGACGTCACGCGTGGTATATCGAGGAAAAGGGATAGGATCATGCTCTACAACTGCAAGACACAAGGGAATTTCCTGTCCCTCGAAGTCAACCCTATACGCAATCGACTTTGCTCCCCTTTTCGTGCGCGGTATTGTTTACTGTCAACCTCGTTTCGGGGGCCGCGATGCTGTTACCCCTCACTCTGACCGGCCCCTTCGTCGATCGAACGGATCCATATGACCGGCTTTAGGGGAGTTAAGCGCCGGGGGGGTAATTGCGGTGTGTTACGAGCGCGATTAATTTGTATTTCTATGGCGTCGTTACTCGTAGATGAATTGCTATCTGCAATGGGTGGACAGCTCGAACTTTATTGAGTCCAATGTGAATTGCAATCCTTAATTCTTATTTCCTCCAGAATTAGATTCGTCGTGAATCATACAATGTCGTATATGGATTTTATAGACCTAAGCGATAGTTATACGTGACATATAATGACATAAAATAATAAATCTTAATCTTGTGTGAATAAAACAATTAGTTGAAACAGCCGTGGCATCAGACGTTACGATGGCAGGCACAAACATGCACTCATAAAGTTAATTAGAGACGCTGACATCATGTGTTCATATGTTATCGTACATTCGCTCTCGACTCAGCGTTGCTGTCGGCCGTTTCGCCTCGTTTGTACACCGCACTAACTGGTGTTGTAGTTTGCGTAGGAGTGAGTTAGAGCGTTTAAATGCTTAATTACCGCATTAGGAGTAACCCGCGATATCGCGCGGGATCTTTAATCGCGGCCCATCGGAGCGCGAATTACTTTTGTTTTGCACGCGCACGGAATAATTGAAGCGTTTACGGGGTGGCGGCGCAAACTCTTGTTTGCGATACAATGGCGGCCCCCAGAAACGTCTAAGTCCAGCGTTATCACAATAACGAGAGCCCGCATGCTATAATACGCGTGATAAATGCACGCGCGTTTCACGGCGTCGGTTCTGGCGATTAATTACGCGTAGGTACTCAGTGACGAATCGCCGTTACACCGGCGGATTAAACTACCCTGGAGTGACGATATTCTCAACGATCATTACACGCGCGTATTGTATTTGCGAGCGCACCATCGTACGTTTATAAACGTTACAACGAGAATAAATTTTGCATTAGCGCGAGAAGACTCCGAGGAAGGTGGAAGTTTGCACGGCGGTATTACGAGGCTTACCTCTTGTATGATACCGCGGAATCTAGTTATATGGGTTCCTTGTTTAAAAGTAACGTAACTCAAATTTAGAAAATTTTCCTAAAGCAGGAACATCAAACGTGCATCTTACTATCTAACTTTTCTTAGTTTCTGGATTTTAGTTGCCCTACTTTTAGAATCAGCGGCTTAAATAAGATCTTAGAATCTCCATTTCTTTAAAAAAAAAAAAAGGTACAAAGCATTCCTAAAATTTTTGATATTCTTCTTAGAATAGCTAACGCACCGATTTGTATTCTTGGACTCGATCCTTTTCTCAAAATTACCGATTTCTTTTAAAACCGCTCTTAAAATAAACGTTTCTGCCCTACGATGACATTGCCATTGTTCCGCGACTGTTCCTCGCGGTATCATGGAGGGCTTAATCGCCACTTGGGTGGGAGACGACAATCGCCGTCGGATGCACCCGGCTACGTTCCCAAGCTAAACGTTTCCTCGACCACACGAACTCCGTTTTCTCCGTTGACGATCCCGCGGAAAATGGAGAACGGACACAATTCCCTCACGGTCCGTCTGCCCGGCGCAAAATGTCTGAAGTCCGAATTCGTACTCGAATTCGCCGGATCCTCTCGGTACACCGCCACATGCCACCACGTGCATTCTGCGCCGTGGTACCGTACGGTGCGGTGCGGCCCTTACGGTGTGTCATTTTCTAAAAGGACGTCCATCGGTCAGCATTGTCCCCAGGGTTGCGGTTAATCCGGTCCGTTGGCCGCGGTCGCGGTCGTGGTCGTTGCGAGCGGTCGCGGATGCGTTGCGCGAGGGAGGATGAGAACAGAGGAGGAGGCGAAGGAGGGTCGGGAGGCAGCAATGGCGACGGGGGGATGAGGAGGACGTGGAGGATGAGGCGGAGGTGGAGAAGGAGGACCAGGAGAGCGGGCGAGCGCAAGCGCCTGTCCGATCGATGCCCGTCTCCCGCGTATAAAGCTCTCGTCCTCGGGGGGCGCGCGACAGTTGGCGTTCCGCATCCGGAACATGCATCGCGCCGCGTGCCGATCGCGCCGGGAACATCTCGCTGTAGTCGTCGTCGTCGTCGTCGTCGCCGTCGTCGCCGCTGTTAGTGTGACCCACGTCAACAGCGTTACCCATCGCGAGTACAACCGTCGTTGTCCGACTCCAATCAAACTGCGATCGAGCGCGTTGTTCTCGAATTTCGCCAAAGAGCGACGTATCCTTCTCGAGTTTCGTTGGTTGTTGGATCGACGCAGAACATTTGTAAAAACACGAATTCCTTGTCTCTTGATCGATAAGGAAGAGACGACGAACGCAACGTCGGATCGACAACGCCGTTTCGTCTCACGGCAAGGACTTCCTTTCTGAAGTCTTCCTTTCGACGCGATTCTTGATCTCGGAGCGAAGAATGAAGTTCGGAGTAACGTGCGTCAGTTAATGATCGAACGGCATCTGGCACAAGCGACGTCGCCGTCGGCGGAAAGAAAGCGCCGATTGCGACGAGCGATTTCTCGAGATATTCATCATCATCGCGTGGACGAATAATTACTCTCGAAGTCTCAATCGCGCTATTTCAGACAGACTGCGTGATCTTCCTTCCCTCGATCGTCAAGTCATTCTCGGGAATCAAGCTGTCTTTGACTTCGTGACGTCCTCTGGATTCGCGACGTTTCTCGTGAACGACCTCGATGTGAGACCCCGAAGTGAAGCGGTCGCGCCGGGAGAGATCGGGAACCCGGGTTCGGCGCTGGGAGCCGCTTCGTTGCTGGATCGTATCTGGGGACGCGTCACCGACATTCATCCCGCGCGGGACCCGTCATCCGGGCAGGCGACGTCAGATCGGCGGTCGTTCGATCGTCCGGCGGACGTCTCGGCCGTCGCGCGAAGAACCGGCGGCGTCAGGCGGAGACGTAGGGGCGGCGGGAGAGGAGCAGGCGGAGGTAGAGGAGGTGGCGGTGGTGCTGGTGCTGCTGGTGGTGGCGGCGGTGGTGCAGGAGGAAGGCCCGCGGACGTGCAACAAGTTAAGAGGCCGCCGCCGTCGACGTCGCTGTCGCCGCCAGCCTCCTCGGCACGATGTGACATGGATATCCTCGCCGTAGCCTGCGCCCTCGTCGCGACGGCACTCTACTGCAACACCCTGCAAGCGGGTTTCGTCTACGATGACCGGTGAGTGAGGAGTCTTCCCTCTTTTTTCACCGGCATTGAGATCCTGGATGCGAGCAGAAATGAATGCCTAACATTTTCAGATTTGCAATGCTATCGTAAAGGTTTGAAATTGATGTGAGTTAATATCTCGATGCTGTCGACACGCGGAATTGACATCTATATATTCATCCGTGATGATAAAAATGCCACGATCAACGTGAGATTCGTTTTTTCTCGCGTATCTATATCGTCGAAAATTGTCCTCATCGAAATTATATCATTTCCAACGTTGTTTTGATTACCGGATTTTGATTCGGAAGTTTGAGAGCTTCCAGGAAGTCTCAATCTAGGGCTTTTCCTGACAGAAGTTGCTTTAAGACTAGGTCGACAAGCAGCCGGTGACACACTTGGTGAGGTTGCGTGACGAGATTCGTCGGATTAGAACACAGTGCCGCGAAAGTTTCGAGGGCGATACTCGTGAACGATAATTCGCCATCACGTAGCGATAGCGGGAGGGCTTTGATTTGATTTGGGGGAAGCTTGGTCAGCGCGATACTCAGAGTTGTTGATAGCTTATCGAGGCTTATCTTCTTGCGTTGGACAAATGCGACTTAAAGCACAAGTGGATTCAATTCGTTCTCACATAACACGATCTGTCACTCGACTTCATTTAATCTCTAAAGGGTCGGAAAACTTTATGCTACCTGTAAGGTCATTTCTCCTAAACGTTAATTAAAATTAATTAAGATTTAACTAACTCTCTCTCTCTTTCTCTTTCTATCTCCTCCGAAATATCTAGACAAGAGACGCAAAATCAATTAAACGCCATTTAAATTGAACTAACATTCACAATCTGGAGCAATAGTTTTGTGGCAAGACATATTGAAAAAACTAGAAATTATTTCTAAGATAAAATTTTTCAGACTCTGCAAATATATACATTTCAAGTCTTTAAAAGTCGACATAGGTTTAAGCCAGACTCGCTTGATCGAATATCGTTAATTATGCCGACGGGGCCCATCATCCGTCATCCAGGGACGAGAAAAAATTCTTGTCGGCACGTTTTCGAAGGGCGATGAATGTCGCTCGTAAGAACTCGAGTTTTCCGTGAATATTACTCATACCCGAGGTATGATATACGATAGATGACATTCCTCGCGATATATTTCAGCCGTCACTCGCGCGCCGCGCGAAATTGTTTCTGCACTGCCACCGGCTCGATATCTACCGCACTGCTATGGAAAACAAATAGGCACGAGCCGGAGTAATCGCAGCAAACTGTGCACCGTATCGTTTGTCCGTTATTTCGCTTCTCCTCTCGGATCAATAAGACTGCGTT